ACTCACTCACTCACTCATTCACTCACTCACTCACTCACTCATTCACTCACTCACTCACTCACTCACTCACTCACTCACTCACTCACTCACTCACTCATTCACTCACTCACTCACTCACTCACTCACTCACTCACTCACTCACTCATTCACTCACTCACTCACTCACTCACTCACTCACTCACTCACTCACTCACTCACTCACTCACTCACTCACTCACTCACTCACTCACTCACTCACACTGACCCTTATCTACCATTTCCGCAGGACTTGCTGCACTCCGACCATCCCACGTACTCCCACGTATATCGCTCCTCGACGTCAGGTATGGCGTTGTCCAGCTCAGGTCTGCTAGGTAGTGTGAACTGAGTGCTGATTGTAGTTTTCATTCCTGTGATCCTCGGATAAACCTGTAACGTTTAGATGAAATTTCTTAGTAAAGCCATCAGTTTGTATTACTGCGTACACAGCGGTAATCAGAATAAGGAAAATATGTGGTCTAGCTGTAAACACGTTGGTTTAGGATTTGTCGTCAATACTTTACGTAAATGCTTCGTTGGGAACGTACTACTCACCATTATTTATGTCGTGACTATACTGACAGTTTAGTAACCGATAAATGATATCATAGAATTTTACATCGTTATTGTACGCTGTCCATATTACCAATACAAAATACAATCTAATAGTGTTTTTTATTTTTATTTTACGGAACATCTACGCTTTTCCCCGAAGTATGACTGGGTATTGAAATTTGCCTGCAAAAATCTAATGGGCTTTAGGTCATTAGAACCCAATAGTTACACGAAAATTATCGATCAGCTTGGTTCGATTAAAACTCCTTATTCGACGGAAAATGTTTTACTCTTGTCTAAATATCCCCTTATTCTGTAGCGTGATCCATTCGGCAAGTATATACGTACAAAAACTATCATCTCGCTCAGCAGAGGCCCCCTAGCGGTGATGAGCTCGCGTCTCTCTTCGTCTTCGGTGTAGTTGAAGAGCGTTCCTAGCTGAACGAACGTCTGATAATACCCCTGTTGTCTGCCACCGTTCAGCACAAACCTGCCTGTCTTGCGGTTCTTTAACGCTGCGGTATGGGGAACGATGTCGCCATTAGACGATGTCGCTATTAGATAGTGTGGCTTTTTGTTTAACAGCTATCTGGTTGGTATTTCGAAGTACACAAAAGAATGCATGCCCGCGCAGTGTTTATATTATGGCATGTCATATACAGGGCTGTGTAAAAGTTCATCGGATGTATAATTATGTCGATTCTCGTTTTACCTATAAAGTTGGGCGATGCTTCGTCCTCTTGAACGATGATGTTGCGTGCTCCTTTTGGTATTATTGAGACACGTTTGTACTCTGCAGCACGAATAATGCACACGAAAATCAGAGATTTTAGCTTACGCTGGCGATCATCATAAAGTGGCAGTCAGTTGTAGTTCTACGCCGAAATTTCTTGTAATGGTCAAGTTACGCACAGATATATACATTTAATGAAACACGCACGCATCAATTATGTTATTAATGAGCTTTCACAAAAAACCAACCCACTGCCGCGAAACCATTCAAAGATTGCCGGCGATACAAGTGTCCTTATAGTTCTTACTCTTCTTCGTCAGAGACTCCATGAAGATGCTGTGAATGACTCGACACTGCGAGTTATCGCCGCCACACACGCCACACACATCCGTCATCTTGCTGGACCCCAGCACCTTGTCGCAGCCCATCTTCTACAGTCAGACGAAACAAACATCGATACACGACACATGAAAGCAAGCATATTACCACAGATGTTCATAAAGAACTGCAATATATCCGATAATATTATAAAAGAATCAGTGTGATTGATACTTAACAACAAACTTGATCATGACACATGAGATCAGGAGCGTATAATGACAAATATTTATATGTCAAATGACATATATTTGTATTTGTCATTATACGCTCCTGATGAGATGTAAGTAAGTTCAGGTGTTATCGGTTTACCTCGCAACTGCCCTGTATACAGATTCCCTGTGAGGAGAAGTAAGAGCATTTTGTTCCATCGATGACATCACGTTCCGACATATAAAGATTCTTCGTTTGCTCAGAGACGCACCACAACTTGCAGTAAGTTGATTCTGCACACGTAGCCGTTCAGACAGCACAATTTAATTCGACTTATAGACAATTAGCATCGCAGATATAAATGTGTTAACAAGAACATAGTATTGGATTACACACATCGGAAATTGATGGATGTCATGAAGACATAAAAATCGACAGGATGACGCTCTAAATTAAACGCTATGCATATCAGTAAATGAACGAATAAATAAATATAAATAACCACTTATCTTCAAAATGAATCGAAAACATTTACCGGAAAAACGTTTTTTACAGCCGATCTGCTGTCATTGTCAAGCTGCACTTAAGTAAATATATAGGATTAATATTATAAAGGCGAATCGCTAAAGAATACTCAGCAACAATCACCGTTCTTCACTTGGTATGGCACCCACGTATGCCTGCGACCGTCCTTCAGGATCTTCTCCTGATTCAGTTTCAGGCACTGCTTAGCGCGAAAGTCGCCAATGTTAGAACAGTCCTGTGTGCCGCACAGAGCGTAGTTCGTGGGCGACCCGATGCAAGAGTTGCCCCTGTAACGCGGTCTGAAAACGTGGTTCAACACTCGTTTGTTGTGCCATGAGTTTGCGCCTTCATTTAGCATTTTACAAACAAACAAGCAAGCAAGCAAAAAACAACCCACCCTATCAACAGACAAATCAAAACCAAAAAAATGGACTTACCAATTATAAATCACTTGAAGCATGCATTACACAGGTAAGGGAGAATAACGGTATGTGCTGGGCAGCTAATGTAACCTGGGTTTTATATGCCAACTCCCCATTATTACTATTAGCTAGTGTCCGCTATGCGTTCGCAAACGGACTGCCAGTGCTCGCAAACATCACCGTAGTATTAAACGCGACGATATGCAATGAGCCCTGAAGTTATACGCATGCGGTGACAGGTGGTTTGGAGTGTATGCTGTGATATGAATGCGGTAGTGTGGTAACACGTACCGAGGGTTGGTGCAGTCCCGCCTACGAAGCAGAACACCGGTGCCGCATGAGCGGGAGCAAGCTGACGCATTCTTCCAGTCTGACCAGCCCCCGTGGATGGGACTCGGAGGTGGCGCCACTGTCGGTTCCAGTTCGACCTAAAATGCCGCGTAAAATCGTCGCTCTGTACCGAAAACGTTTACATAAACGGTCGATACACTTTCAAAGCTACGATAGGTATATACCATAATTCGACGGCGATTAGAATTAATCTTGTGATAATAACCAACTTATTGAACCCAACTACACAATGACAGCATGCAATAACAACAGGTTATATTTGGTCAGGATTAAGGCTGCGTGTTTATAAGGGTTAGCAGGACGACACTGTGATATTTGCAGAGCAGCGTGTGTTCTAGTGCAGGCAGTGCGAAGGTAGTGCGCGCGCAAGAGTGGTTTGAGTTCGGGAAACATGTCTCATCGGGGCTTTGGCTTCGGCTGGTGCATTTGAGAAGATAACCGTACGAATAATTATACCAATACATAAAATTATTAATAATTATATCAAAAGATAACACAAATAATCTTCGCGTTATGTACTATCACATCTCCATTTTATGTTCATCGTGTAGCACTCCATAACTCGGCGCAATTCAATGCGCACATTTTTAGCTTATTCTGTAGTCTCGTACAGTCATCCCTTATAAAAAATATAGCAACGTGTGTGAGATAAATATTAACAAGAGCGTATAAAGAAGGAGAGCGTACAACGGCGAAATGCTGAAACCATGTTGCAGTATTAGTCGAATTAAGAAACTTTGCCCGTTTTATTTTGACGATTCTCTGATCTCGAGTCGGTTTTCGGCGAAAATACCAGATTTTCACCGCTCATTATCTTAGCGTAGGGGCATCGTAGGGGGCATGCGGTTTATTTTATATTAACAAGGTAGGACAGCTGATCAATAATACTGCAAAGAATCGTCAAAATAAAACGGGGAAAGTTTATTAATTCGACTAATACTGCAACATGGTTTCAGCATTTCACCGTTGTACGCTCTCCTTCTTTATACGCTCTTGATATTAATTAGAAAGAGTTTGATGGCGTTGGCTTGGGGGGGGGAGTGGTTGGATACTTTCGTTGCTACCGAGAAGGGGGAGGGTGGCTGAGGATTGTTACCTCCACGGTTATCCGTTCAGGCGTGCCGGGATAGTAAATGGATTTAGACAGTGTGGTCCACGTCTTATGTCGAGGCGACTTTCTGCCGTTTCCAACGGAGATTTCGTTAGTAAGAACGCATTTTCCGTCCATGCACCACTACAACGACATGGCACGTGGTAAGCTGTCAGCGGAGTACAGCGATGCCGAGAAAGAATGTACACGAAGAATGAAAGACAGAGCAAAAGTTCGCGTAAAATACAGCAAACAGGGACACTATAGTACGAATTCTAGCTACTATGTTCTAACTATTAATGGCGCAAGTGCATACAGAGTGACTCCGACTCTGTTTTTCCGAATTTATATATAAATAGATGTTACAACGATTAGTGCATGTAGCGTAGCATTTCTATTGTGAGATGTACTAGCGCATGTTCCATTCCATTTTCTGCGTATGTATTGTTGGCGAAACAAATAGTGGTCACGATGTAATCGAAACGCAAGTTTTGAATTGTTTTCTTCGGTCTGTTGCTCAGTATGGAAGTCAAAAATCTCGTTCTAAACGCGGCTAATGAGGAATTGAACATAGCTGGCGTTGTTTGAGCTCTTTATGCAGATAAGCGACTGCTACTAGTGATATGCTTTGTTGGCTTAGGAAGAGAAAGCGTGAAGCTGAGTTTGCGGGAGTCATGTATATATAACAGATGATTATTATATATATTGCGGTACTATGCGGTAGATGACTCGACACTTATTTCGAAATTACTAAAACGATTCGGCGAATTATGCTATCATTTCTGCCAAAGCGGCGAATTCATTCCCGAATGTAGTAAACGCGTTGGAATTAGCTTCCGAGTTAAAATTGATAATTATTGGCGGAGACCTTGCTGGGGCCACAGTTTGTTCCATCCAACGCGGGTCCTTTCTTTGTCTTGCACAAGAGAGGTTTGTCCTTGGTGCTACACCAGAGTCTGCTACACAGGTCCACTCTGCGCTCAAACTGGCATAACAGGAACGCACAGCTCGAATAGCCGCATTGAAACCAGCGTACTCTCTCTCTCTCTCTCTCTCTCTCTATATATATATATATATATATACTTGTCAATTTACATTGGTCATATAAGCTTCTAAGAAGGCATGCAGGATTCGAACAAGTACTCAGGCCACGTACTCAGGCCACGGATTTATCCTTATAACTGTTATAGCAGTTCAATGGCTGTTTGTTAGATATCAGTTCTGTATTTTCTACAAGACTATATTCGGATGCAAGCGTTCAAGCTACAAACTCGCAAGTAAGATAGAGACGGAGGCATTAACACCTACTACAACAAATATATAATTAAGACTGCGGACTGCTCGACTTACAGCGTGACAAACGGTGTACTCGTTGCCAAATTCGAATCTGCATTGGTCGTCCATGGTATACTTGGTGCCGATTCTGTCCGGTAAGCGAGGCCACGGGTGCTGGAACGGGCTGTCGTTAAGACACGGAAAACTCCTGAAACGGCGAACGCTTCATTATAGATCCATATAGTCGATGCTTCCAGGTAGAGACCAAAGGTACGCCGAGATACCTTCCAACAATACTAGTGCTACGCTTCGGAAAACTACACGCGACCGCCACCAGGGGGTGGAGGTCAAACAACGTTACAACAGCGTTGTCATTTTGTGCGTATAGAGTGGGTACGAGAGGTGCTTATTACGAGGCTCTGCCCATCCTATAACCTTTATCAGGAGCGCATACGGTATCTTGAGCTGCATTCATCATTGGGGCATGGGATACCTACCCCACGTAGGCAAGCGTCCAACGAACGTCGTACGTAAGGTGCCTCAGCTAGATTCATCAAGCTTAGCACGTACGCAGGCATGTGGTTAATGAATCAATCTAGCGTAGGCAATCTAGTTGAAGCCGTTGATATTTCCGCAGCAGAATTTTCTCAGAAAAATAGCAACTTGTTCAGCGTTACTCTCTCGTTACGCGTATACGTTAATGATACTCACGGTAGGTATGTTGTTAGTTCGTCGTTGCTACAACGCGACCAGTAGAAGTCGTTGAAGGTGGCCTGTACCAGTGGCGACATGACGCTGTTTCCAGTGTCCTCGCAGTCGTTATTGACTCCGTCGTGCTCCATACCTAATCTAAACGACAAATTAATAGAACAGCATTAATGCCGATCCAAATGCCGACATATGCACGAACGCACACACGCACACGTACACATACACTCGCGTGAGTGCATGCACGTACGTACGCACGTACGCACGCACGTACGCACGCACGCACAAGCGCACAAGCGCGCGAAGAATGGACGGAGTATGGGAAGAGTGTATCGACAAAATACATTCCTTGTTTCAACTCTATGCAAACGGGATTTTCAACGCGTACAGGTGGTGGGGCGCATACGCATCACCATTCACACTATAGAGCCTTCTCACGCTTACAAAGAGGGTTAATAGTACTTTACTTTTAATGGTAAGTCACCTATTCAACGTGAACAAGTATAGCGCGGTGTACGTACACGTGTCCTGTCTCGTGGGCAATGACGAAGGCGGACGAGAATCCATCCTCCTTGTTGATAGTGCAGCTCTTTTCCTCAGTACACATGTTAGACACGGGCGCGTAACCTGAAGAACGCGAATATGAACAGACAAAGAAAAAAGCGAAGAAGACAGATAAGAAGTTAATCACTTACGTTAAACGAAGACGGAAGAAAAATAAGAAGTGAATCACAGACGTTAATGCGATCACCGCGGTTTTTCGCAATCGGTATTCTCACTTCAGTTACAGTTATGGCGGTTGAACAGCAGCAGCGGGCAGCAGCAGCAGCGGCAGCAACAGCAACAGCAGCAACAGCAGCAACAGCAGCAGCAGCAGCAGCAACAACAACACCGGCAGCAGGCAGCAGGCAGCAGCAGCAGCAGCAGCAGCAGCAGCAGGAGCAGCAGGAGCAGTAGTAGTAATAGTAGTAATAGTAGTAATAGTAGTAGTAGTAGTAGTAGTAGTAGTAGTAGTAGTAGTAATAGTAGTAATAGTAGTAGTAGTAGTAGTAGTAGTAGTAGTAGTAGTAGTAGTAGTAGTAGTAGTAGTAGTAGTAGTAGTAGTAGCAGCAGCAGCAACAGTAGCAACAGCAGCGGGCAGCGAGGTCGTTACCTGCCGGTCCGAATGTCTGTCTCGTGAGGAAGATGGCGTGGTCGTGATGCTCGGGGTGGTTAAGATCGGACTTCCTGACAGTGTAAACCCACTCACAGAGCTGGTCTAGACTGCGCTTGGCATCTCCCGTTATCACCAGATCATTCTGTGTAGAGAAATGCTCAGTTTTCGTATTAGTATTACTATTATTATTATTATTATTATTATTATTAATATTATTATTAATATTATTATTAATAATATTTGTTTAATATAATTATTAATAATATTTGTTAAATATTATTAGTTGGGCCTAACGAAGTACCAACGGCAGGTAGACCTATGCAAGGCCATCCACCACCCGTTATCATTCACCGCCTTACGCTACAAATCACGCGGAAACCAATAACTGCTGAGAACACGCGTAACCAGTACGCGTGAAGCATATAGAGAAGTCCCTGCTCGAGCGGGTCGAGTATTTCGCACTCGAGTATCTTGGTCGGGAATATTCCCATACGTCCGAGGTACACATTACGCTCGTGCTCGAGCGCTCTCTCGGTTTCTCAAATCAAAAAGCTTGGCCTTCAGTTTTGCATAGAGGAGCAAAAAATATTTAGTTGAAGTCATGAGAATGTATTTGCTCAGATGTATGGCGATGGATAAAATTCTGGGGCACAGCGGGACGTTCTGACGTCAATACAGAGCAATCGATGCGGCCACGTATGGGTTATACTTACGTCGGAGTCCAGTAAAATCATGCGTACAACGACGATGTTGATGTTTGCATCCAAGGAAGGGTCCTGATATATCATGTTCACCTGCAAAAAAACACATGTCTCGTTTCCGTCATCTTGTAGGATCCGGAAGCCGACCGTTGAAATGAATATATATATATAATATTATATATATATATGTATAATATTGAAGAAGCAGAGGAATTTTGCAGGAATTTGGGTTTCTTCAACTCCCTAAGAGAAAGTGAGAGAGAGAGAGAGAGAGAGAGAGAGAGAGCGAGAAAGCAAGAGAAAGAGAGGGGGAGAAAGAAAGAGCGAGAAAGAGAGAGAAAGAGAAAGCGAGAAAGCAAGAGAAAGAGAGGGGGAGAGAGAAAGAGCGAGAAAGGGAGAGAAAGAGAGAGCGAGAAAGCAAGAGAAAGAGCGAGAAAAAGAGTGAAAGAGAGAGAGCGAGAAAGCAAGAGAAAGAGTGAGAAAAAGAGAGAAAGAGAGAACGAGAAAGCAAGAGAAAAAGAGGGGAGAGAGCGAGAGAGGAGGGGAAGCACTCACGATGTTGACGAGGGACAGCATGTACAGATGCACGGTCGCCTGACCGTGGAACCTGACCATGTGATGGTCGCCAATCAGCAGAACCTCTACAAACTTTTCGCTGCCGATCGCCGACCGCTTCCGCCGCCCGGAGATCCGCTGGGTGTCCTTGAGATGCCGCAAGGTCGTCTCGAGGTCATCGGATAAACTATTGGCTGCAAGCATACAATGAGAAAATTCGCTGAAAAATGGGGCCCGGTCGCTATCTATCGCAGTTAATCATCGATTATATTGAATCCGATAATATCGAATATATTGCTCCGATATACGGACATCAGCGGATCTGTTGTTGCGCGCAGCTCACTTTATGGAAAAGAATTATGGTGCCGTGATAAAATCTAGCAGCAATTGCAATTGCCTGTGGTTTATAACAACATACGGATCATGCCATATATTCGTCCATCCCGTAAAGTTGGCATGACTCAGCGGTACACATAAAGAAACGGGAGAATTGCGTGCATTCTATATGCGAGTTTGATCGCATCATTGCTATGACGGGCTATTTCAATTTATGAGTCACTCCGCCTGCCGAACACATTTATTGGTCAGCGTCTGCATCTAACGCGGGTCCGGGCGGGAAACTGCAGCAGACGTCTGCAGTATGAAGGGTTTATTGCCCCTCGTTATACCAGTTTAAACACGAGCTGCGTTTAACGGAGTGAATTGATATTGGGTCATTGCTGCCGATCTCTATGTATGCATTCTGAAGTTTCGCTGCAGTCGCACGTGATAGCATGTGAGGATAGCACGACATGATGCCACGAGGTCGGTGCTGGTTAGACGTCGTTGTCTCCGAATAGAGTGGTTGGTCGATTTGTCGTGGCAGCCATTCGCCGACAGTCATACCCTGCGCTACGACAATGTTACTTACGTGAATTCGCACTTACGTAACTTGCATTTTATGACCATTTTACTCGCGATACGAAACGAAAATTTGCTATCGCGTAATCTTTTAAATAAATAAGTTGCCTGATCTAATCAAAATATAGCATTGCTTATACCGCCGTAAATGGAATTTATTTAACAAATATGCAGCCGGCTACCAAACCATCGGGCGGGTCATCTTTGATGTTTAATGTAACTCTATCGTATTAGGCAGTTTGACCTAAAACACGCACTACTTTTACATTTTTTACGTTTCTGCAGTCGGTGCCCCGCATCCAGTACACTTCTGGTACATGTTACTTATTGCAAGTGCAGTTATTTGCAACGACTTGCTAAAGGGACCGGTACAAAGAAGTGATATAAAGTAACAATTTCTAAATAGAAAAAAAAAATTCTAAACAAATTCTAATTAGGTTTTATTTTAAACTTAATCGCTTTCATTCGTACATAATGCTAATGTTGTTCCTTATTTAGTATCTAGTCACCCGAGACTTAACATCGATTTTAATTTAACAGAATTTAATGCGAAGAACGTTTTTCAGCGCGAAACCGAGAGGTCTAACCGATAATGCATACGTACGTCAAGAGCGGAAGTAGAAGTAGAAGAAGAACTAATTAACCTTTCTCTCTCTCTCTCACTCCCTCACTTACACACACACACACACACACACACACACACACACACACACACACACACACACACACACACACACACACACAACACACACACACACACACACTCACAAACAAACACACACAAACAAACAAACAAACAAACAAACAAACAAACACGCGCTCGCACACACACAGAGAGAGAGAGAGAGGGAGAGAGAGAAAGAGAGAGAGCGATATATATATATATATATATATATATATATATATATATAATTGAGAGAGAGAAGAGAGAGAGAGAGAGAGAGAGAGAGAGAGAGAGAGAGAGAGAGATTCACATACAGACTCGGCCCCGCCGCCGTCAGGAAAAATATCTCTAACCGCGTCGGAGAGTGATCTGAACTTTTTCCGTAGCTAAAGGCCCCGGCACACGGTGCGCAGTCGGCGCGCGCCAACGGCAGGTAGACCTATGCAAGGCCATCCACCACCCGTTGTCATTCATTATAATATTCGTTTATATTCCCGGCGCGCGCGCAAAATATCTATCGTGTTTGATGTTTCTGGCTCAGCGCCCTTGGCGCGCGCCGAATGCGCACCGTGTGCGGGGGCCTTAAGTATCTTCAATTATGGAACAGCAGTCAATAGGAAAAGGTGATTCACGTAACGGATTTTAGCGATGCGGACGTTTTCTGAAACGCATTACTTGCACAGCATAATATTTCTATATATATATATATATATATATATATATATATATATATATATATATATATATATTCTGCTCACCTTCGTTAGAGTGTGTTAGCGCTGAGCGTCGGTATACAACGTGCGCGCCGTCCGGCATGGAGGCGTTCGTTGACATCGGCTCAATGAAGTAATCGCCATGATCGGTTTTTATCAACCCTGACTGCAAATATTTGAACAAAGTACTACGTACATCGGATCGCCGGAGAACACCGAAGAACGGAACCTTGTTCGGCTGGATATTAACGCAAGGAGATTATCGATTTTACTTCGTCTGCGACTTTTGAATTGTAGCCACGTTTACTTTTCGCATACCTATCCTGGATAATTTCTATCTCTAGTTTTGATAACTTAATGCGAACTCAATTAAGTTAATTCTCGTGTTCTGAAACTATGAAAAATCTCGTATAAACCGCTGAAAACGGATTGGTTAGCGCGCTTTTTGCTTGTTTGTTTTGGTTATTATTTCCTTGATCTGCCAATAAGCAATCGAATACCAAAAACATTTGAATAACCTACGTAGTTCAGTGTGCAAAGTGAGGTGGTGCGGATGGCTAAGTGGGTGATGATGGAATATTCAATCCACATAGACATCATTAATTAATCATTCTTTCTCGTCTCTACACGGATATAGTAGTAGTGTAAATGGTAGTGAACAAAGTGGCTTCGTACTAGACCATCGCAGTTGCTGAGTGCGGCGGACGAGTTGGGCGCATTCTGTAGCCGCCCCGTGTAAAAGCAGTGCTTCGTCTGCCGATCTATGCGCTCTCTCCACAGGAGAGACGTTCCGTTGTCGACACGCATCCACTCGATGTGCGCGTGCGGCGCCACCAGGTGGCGACTCTGTTTCAGCTTGAGCGTCACCTCCTCGCCGTCAAGGTCGAAGCTGACCTTCAACTGGCGACTGTTCTGCGGCACACTGCGCTTCGACACGACGCGCGTGGCTCTCCCGTGCGGCACGTAGTTGTGGAGATACTCGCCTCCGCTGTCGACGACGCGCGGGTAGGTGACGCTGTAGTCGTTCGCTGCTAGGTCTGCGAATCGATAAACGAATTAGGCGATGAGGCGAGGATGCTCCGCCGCGGAATGTGTTCACCACATGCCACAGCCGCCACGATGTTCCGCCGGCGTCTTATTTCTGATCTTATTAGCGACCGGTTAGTTAGAGGAGGCGCCCACTGACATGAAATTGCTGGAGAATTCACAAAGCGTCTTCGGTTTGCACCAGGTTTACTCAATGAATGCGATAATGAAATCGTGATGATTTTAGACGATTCCTCATCACGTCGTTAATAGTTTTAGTTCGAATGTATGATATATATATCATTGCGCTAGAGAAACTCAACTAGGCTGGCGCTGCTGATCCTATTTCAACGATTATATATATATATATATATATATATATATATATATATATATATATATATATACATATATATATGCATGACATTGAGAATAATGACCCTTGGCGACCATAGCGTGTGAATGTTTGGATAAGTTGTAAGATTGCATACAGAGCCATACAGCTTGGTAATGTCCTATAATGTTTGATCGCGCTGCGTATGAATAAATATTAGTCTCTGCATGGCAAAATACATTTTGAAATCACTTAACATCGCTGCTGCACCGACCATCGATTCCTCTCATGAATCTCATCCGGCGTCTATTGAACGTTCACTCTACGATAATAGAGGCACTGAGGCAATACAGCCCCAGCATAAGATGGCGAATATACATCAAAGGCTAGGAATAAAGCGTTGGTTACAGCAAACCTTATAGCAGTGTAGCGCTTGCCTTATAAACGTTAATTCGCGTCAAATTGTTCGGTAAACGCGGGTAGTTTAACAACTGCGCTCGTGCACGTGCGCACGCATGCCCGAAATCACGCAAGCACAAATGCACGCACGCACAACGTTATGCGCAAGACGGTTAGTCACTAGTTATATGCTAATTATTATTGCTAATTTGATAAGAATACACATTCTCGCCAGATTTAACACACATGGGATATATAGGATACTTACTTCTCCATGCTCCACTGCAAAGAACCTGAAAGAGAAGAGTGGCATGTCAAAAAGGCACAAGTCAAATGATAATATAAACGTACCAGCGGTAATTTCTTTAAAAAACTGGGCGGGTTAATAACCTTGCTGATACACTATATACGTAAGATAGCAGACGTGTACTTGCCATAGCACCTTTGTAAAACTGAATATTATTTAAATTTTTATTTAAACACGAATATTATTTTTTTGCGTGAGATATGATTAAAACAGACTGTTGCAATTACGGCGAAAGAGGAAATGTGATCATTTTTGATAACGATGCTTGATTAGCCCGCGGTTATCGGCGATGACGAGATAAGAGATGCGTAGAACAAGAAGCCGCACATCAAGGATGGACCATTGCTACACAGCGACCCAGATAGAAGCATCTAAGGTGTGGAGTCTAAGCACGTCCTATCTCGTAATCCGGTATCTGTCAGCCGCAGGGTGACTGCACAAGGCGCGGTCTTATACGCTCGATCGTCTCGTTGTGATATAGCGGGCCGGGTTCTTCGTCCGATTTCTCCTGGGTGAAATATCGCATTCCCAGACAGCACCGAGATGCTGTGTCAATCAGATACCATAGATTACAGAAAACTGCAAATTTGGTCCAGTGATTAGGGGGCAACAAATCAGAGCCACTCTCATCTCTACCAGACACTGACGGCGGAGTTCGAACAAATCCTTAAGAAATCGTTGGAAGCTATTTTCAGGCAGTCCACTTATGGCAGTTTCCGACCAACTATGGTCTGGCCATAACGAGTAAAGTAAATCTACGCTAGATTCACGTTTTGTCAATACTAGCATAGTGGTATTGGTTGGGGTTTCAGCATAGATAGTAACATCATTGTGAGTGACGATCATTTCGACTGCGCGACTGCGAGGCAGTGTTCATAGATGTCGCCACCGTCTTGAGTCAACAAGAGTTATTATATATTATAAAGAGTGAAGTTATTACGAGCTGTCGCCGTGATGGTGCTCGTTAGTGAGGTTCAGCTTTAACGAACATGAATTAATGGGCTCTCTGTGGCTTTAGGGTAGCAAAGGCTCTGCGCGATCTAGCGTATTTGCACCGTAGAGATCATAACAAATCTGATGCATTTATATCAATTAACATGGCCCTAAACTAACATGAATCTGCATTCCAGGGTTCCAGGTTGCGACCAGGCATATATGAATCTAGAAAGCTAAATTGGACCATAATCAAATGAAATCCTTTACACACAATACTCACGAGCATTTGAAAAGTGCGTCACCTTGACGTTATGTTGAATTTATATCGTACATAACATTAACCCTAATCCGTTCTCTATAACGTATATATACGAATTATACATGTGTGTACGTGGCATTAAAGTCTAGTTGCTAGTACGTCGAAAACCTAAAAGATGTTATTGTGTATGTATAGGAACTGCGCTGCCTTAAGTTTGGAATAAATGTTCGGTACACCCCTCAGCTTAACCATTGCATCACCCATCGATTTCCGTTCCGTTCACGGTTCGCCGAAAAAATGCATGACGAAGGAAAAATTCATTTCAAATTCAAAATGACTGCATGGTATTGCGGTGTGGACTCAATGTAGGGGAAGTATTCAGGCCACTTAAGCCATTTGGTCCTGAATAACGCGTCAGATCGCCATGTGAACTCAATAGCCTACGTGCAGTGATCGTAAGACGGAGCTCAGACGTGATGAGGTGTGATATTAGCCTCGTAAAGCTGGCCGCATATATTTGCATCACGGGTGTTATATTAACGTACATCGTTAATACGACGTGACAACATCTATCTGGCGAAACCGCAAAGATGCGACTAAAGTAATTCATCTTTATGAGTAACATCGAGAGCTAATAACACATGATGTATTACATGAATGATGTTGCAATGATGTATTATTAGCTGTTAACAAAATGCAGCTATAATATGGGTACAGCTCGTAACTGCAATGAGTAAGAGCTCGTAGGCTAGTTATTCACACACAGGGAAGGGATGGCATATATGGAACATATGGAAACAGAAAACGGCTAGGAAACGGTGACATGATACGTCCGAGATATCTAGGCAGACGCAATAAAACAAAAACGAGAAATGAAGTGGAGAGTGATAGCTATGGAGAGGAGTAAAGGGTAGATATGTGAAGGCAGGAGATGGTTAGTTATGCAGAAGCAGGAGATGGTTAGCTATGCATAAGCAGGAGATGGTTAGCTATGTAGAATTAGGAAATGGCTAGCTATGCAGAAGCAGGAGATGGCTAGCTATGTAGAAACAGGAGATGGTTAGCTATGCAGAAGCAGGAGATGGTTAGCTATGTAGAAGCAAGAGATGGCTAGCTATGTAGAATTAGGAGATGGTTAGCTATGTAGAAGCAGGAGATGGTTAGCTATGTAGAAGCAAGAGATGGCTAGCTATGTAGAAGCAGGAGATGGCTAGCTATGTAGAAGCAAGAGATGGCTAGCTATGTAGAAGCAGGAGATGGTTAGCTATGCAGAATCAGGAGATGGCTAGCTATGCAGAAGTAGGAGATGGCTAGCTATGTAGAAACAGGAGATGGTTAGCTATGCAGAAGCAGGAGATGGTTAGCTATGTAGAAACAATGAGATGGCTAGCTATGTAGAAACAGTAGAGAGCTAGCTACGTAGAAACAGTAGCTGGCTAGCTATGTAGAAACAGTAGATGGCTAGCTGCATAGAAACAGTAGATGGCTAGCTATGTAGAAACATTAGAGAGCTAGCTATGTGGAAGCATCAGAATACTGGCCATGGGAAGCCAGGAGAGGACAGACGATATGACGAAAATTACATTAGCAGATCCTAAACGTAAGTAAACATGTCATCTACAATGCTTTTGGCAGAGGGTGCTATACTAGCTTAGAATCGAATTGCAATCCGTGATCGATAATGCTTGACATGGCGATGGTGCTTCCGTGCAGAGCCTACTCACACAGGCGGAAAATGAGCTGCGACAAACAGTGACTATTTGCCGTGGGAACGAACAGATAAGAAAGCGGATCGTTAACCAAGTCTCTCTGTCACTTGTTCCCTACGTGGCCAGAGATTCCGTATAAGTGTGCTAAGATGATGGAGCTCTGATGGGTGGGGGAGGGGGCAGATGCAACTAGCCATGCTAGGGACTACCGCAACCATGGTGAGAGAAATAGAGATAGAGATAGATAGATATCGAGAGAGAGAGAGAGAGAGAGAGAGAGAGAGAGAGAGAGAGAGAGAGAGAGAGAGAGAGAGAGAGAGAGAGAGAGAGAGAGAGAGAGAGAGTATGGGGGAGGGGGAGATTGAGCAACAAGCACAATAGAGTAATCGAGCGACAGCGAAATAACATTTGAGAGAGATCGGCTGCCAATTGAGAGTGTTTACGCAACGTAGTATCGATTCATGTAGCGTTACAAATGCTCGAAGCTCGCATAGACGTCGTATACTTGTTATCACAGCGAATCTCATTAATATACGCCTTTGCATATACTTAGGATATGTCATCCGTGGTTAGTGCATTTTATACTAAGTACAAACACTGACTAACGATATAGTGCTTGTGCTTTCACGCGTGGGCGCCCCAAGCCTACCAATTTTGTTGGGTGTTGTTGTGTGCATGAGTACATCGACGGATGGCTACTGCTAACCGAACTGGGCAATCTTCGTCCAGACTTCCTCATGTATTCACATCCCTACATTCTAATTAACAGCGATTATGGGCTGTTACAGGATAGGTTCCGGAGTTTTATGGGAGCCTATGCTCATTCTCTCCCTCCCTCACACGATAAGCACACGCGCGCGCACACACATGCGCGCACAAACTCTTTCTCCCGTCTGTATCTCGATCGTTCTGTGCAATTGACTGCATGCACAGCATCGTAGCATATAGGCTGATCTACAACTACATTCACGGATACCATAAAGTCTACGCGCCGGTGTCCTACCTCAATGACTTCTGGATGAATGTCATTGCAGTAAAGAAATGTGAATGACAGAGATACAGCGGTGCGATGTTGGCGATCGATGCATTCCAATAACTTAAAGTTTCTCTCCCCTCCCATCCTCTCCCATTCTTTCTCGTCCCTCTTTCTCGCATTTCATTTCTCTCTCTCTCTCTCTCTCTCTCTCTCTCTCTCTGTCGCTCTCTCTCGTTCTCTATATCTATGGATCTCATGCTCTCTATTTCTTTAACGCTGTAGTGTAACGTAATTATTCTTATATCTTCGAATAAATCTTGACGACTATATAACGGTAGGTTCCATGTCGGCTTCAATATGTCCTTGACAGGAACTAGTCATACTCATAGTCATACTCTAGTCAGCAGTATTGCGACCGTTCTATCTCTCGGGCGACAACAATTTAAAATGCAATCATATTTAGTTAAACCATTATGTTGTCAAATTAGTTATAACTATAAACAAGAAGCTCGCTCTTGCGGCTTTGGACAGACATACTATAAATGTTGTCATACGAACTCACTTCTGCACGAAAAATGTGTTTAGGCACAACAATAAGTATGAGCAACAGAACCGTGTAACCAGCAGAAATCATCTAGCACGCCAGCAAATTTCGGGTCCTCATGCATTCGCACGTAGGGCACGTAACGCAACAAAGCATATATATATGACGAAGACATGACCTCGACCCGGTTGGTCGTCCAGCGTTCATTGACACGTAAGCACGAAGACTCTGTGAACAAATATACATTTGTGTATTCTAATAACTTTTCATTTGAGTTTTTATGGAAGCGATCAGCCCCGCGGACGACCTCTGACGCGGCGCTGGAGTGTACGGTCGCGACCGGAAACGCAGCACGACAGGTCTCACGCTCAGTTTAGACGTCGGTGTTGTTCTACTGAGCGGTATCGACAACGCAGCTACCCGGCTGCTGCTGAGAGCGCAGCATCCGTGCGGATGTGATCTAGTGTGTAATAGCATCGTTACAAACGCCGTCTCTCTCACGCGCTCTCTACGAGGCACGATGTTGGGATCTCCTCCTCTCTCGCTTTCTCACTCAGGTTATCCGTTTCTCACGCTATCGCTATATCTATCTTCTCTATATATCTTTATATATATCTATCTATCTATATATATATATATCGTTATATCTCATTTTCTCTCTATCGTTTACTCTTTCCCTCTCCAAACGATCCGTGTTCATTAATAGTTCATGCAGACAATTCGGTATTCTTCCGCACCATTGCATTCGCGTCGGATTTGGATTTCTATGCCGAATCAGTACGGACATTTATATTTGATCTGTGTCGCTAAACTGTGCGACATTTCGCTGTAACGCGTTTTACAGGGCGAGCGGGACAAGCCGACTGGCGGCTACAATGAGCGAATTCCATCACAGCTACGTTGGTCGTGCGAGATAAAGATGCCCTGAAGCGCGAAGCAACAGCGGCAGCAGCAGCAGAAACAGCAGACGCAACAGCATCAGCAGCAACAGCAGCATCAGTAGTAGTAGTAGTAGTAGTAGTAGTAGTAGTAGTAGTAGTAGTAGT